TAGATGTGAAGCTTTTAAAAAACAATACCTTTTTTTTCTTTCTTCAGTTTAAAATGACCAGTTCAGTATCCCGTAGGTTTTCCTTCAGCATGTCATCACTTGCATGAACACATTCTGTTTCTATTAATGAAGGTGAAAACAGTGAAAAACATCTTAGATTTCATGGTATAGGGTAGAATAAGGCATTGGTCACTTTGTGGTCACCCACTGGGGCCTCAGTTTTTTTCACTGAAACAAGCCTTGCTCCTCAATGTAAGAGAAACTCATAGTCTCGCTTTATATCTTGTTGTACTAAAAGAGCAAAATTAAAAATTGAATTAAATCTCTAGTAAACAGGCATGAACAAGTGAGAAATAGGGGCTGAGCACACTCTAGAAACCATTCTAGAAGGAATTTTAGCATGTAAGTGTACCAAACAGAAGCAGCCATATAAGCCTGTAAGGAAATCATTACTCTTACAAAGTCCTCCCAAATTTAGACTTGGTGTTCTTCATTAATGGCTTTGATTTACATGAGAAGAAAAGTTACACCCCTGAGAGAAAATAACCACTTTCCTAAGGAGTAGCTGTCTGAAATCACGCAATCTGGTCATCCAGCTTCAAAAACTCTGCCAGGAGCAAATGACCCTCTCAGCTCCCACTTTGCATTCAGTCCTGTAGGACAGGGAGCAGCTTAAGAGGATGACGAAGTGTTAGACTGTGTTTCAGGTCGTTTCTAGTGCTTGGTGAAGTAGCCCCAAGTTAAATGCCTCATTCAGCATCAGGCATCACAACTGGAGTCATTCTAGGCAGGTGCTCCAGCAGCACACTGGACTTCAGGTCTTCTGCCTAGGTTGAAAGAACCCCACATGATGAAATTAGATATTGATTGGAAAGATTGCCAGAATTCCAGTATTTTATTTCCTGCAGAATAGTGTATTGTAAATCCAAATTCCAAGTCAACAGATTTGGCCTTTGTGATAACACCATAATGGTATGATATTCTTGCAGTTCATTTTCTTTGCATTTCACAGAAAAGATTTTTGCAGAAATCACAACAGGAGGCTGTATTTAATGAATGACATTTTCTGAAATTTAGGAAAAGCTGATTGTAGGATTAGTTAATTTTTTGGGGCTTTTACTTCTGTTGGCAGCCACAGGGATGGCACACTATTCAGTTATGTCCTGCACATCTAGGAATTTCCCACACCATGTAGGGCTAAGTCTCGGTGTCAGAGCTCCCTATTGTTCATCTGCATTCAGGTTAAAGGAATAAAATAAAATCCCAGCCAAATGTTGGCAGTAGTGAAAACTGAAATAATCTGAAAAATGAAATCCTAGTTTTGCTGACAAAATTACTAATCTCATGTTTCGGTGTCCAAAGGAAAAGGATGAAAACAGAACAGGTCCTGTTGCCTTTAATAAATGTCAGCCCTAGATAATGATAGAGCAGGAAGAGCTCTTGAGAGTTCAGGAAGTAACGTCCTCCCCAAAGGGCTTTTGGAATCTGCTCTATGTCATTGACATCATTATCATCAGTGCTTGAAGAAGTAGGTTTCAGATGCACCCTCCAGAGGAGACACAGAACATCATTCTACAGGTGGAAAGTGCTGAAGTCCCAGAGCAGCACAGGGCTCTTTGTGGCTCCAGCATATGCCATGGACCTGCATATGAATATAATAGCAAACCACTAGCCAAAGCATTGATTTTACCAAGGAAATGGTGCAGAACAGATATAACATGCAAGAATCTGCAAGGCTGATGTGAAATGGATTTTCATGAAAAAAATGCGTAATTCCATTCACCTGCAACTGGTCCTCAAGAAGCCTTGGGAATAATTCTCTGCATTAAAAAATAAAGATGTAAATTGGCTTCAGGTAAGAGAAGATGAGAAATAGGAGTTAGAAGCATCTGAAAGCTATAGGTAATAGAAAATATATAAAAAGAGATTACACTAGAACTTTGACCAAGGTCTTTGAAACAGCTCAACAAATTTGAGAGTGCAGTCCCAGATTACAGTGTTGGGAAAAATTCTGTGCCAAAAAAACCCATTTTCCAACATCTGCCACCCAATGAGCCACACCAAGAGCTGGTTATAAAGTTAAATGGTATATCTCTCTGCCCCCTCCCCCCCCCCCCCCCCCCGCCTCTTTTAAAGAGCATATAGGATGAAATGGTAGGATGAGGTTTTCTTGAATGTCAGCTATTACCCGGTTTGCTGAGAAAGTGGTGTTATCTGAAGTAATGGCAACATACTTCCATCATCTGCTCTGATCTTTGGAAGATCTTTGTTTGAGTAATGGTTTGAATTTTAAGGTTTCTCTTTATAAAGTTTATGGTTTTGAAACTTATTTTCTGCATTTTTTCCATTTGTTAACTTTTGCAGCAAAGATAAAAAGAAAAGGATCATGATTATACTCAGCTGTTTTCCACTTCAGGATTCAGTTAGTTATGAATGCAGTTGTTTTTCACTGTACATTGGTTTTCATGAAAACTGCTGTTCTCACATGTCTGTAAATTGTCCTCTAGGCAAGCTTTGTCCTTGTCCAGACATGAAACTTTTGGGGGAGAGTTGAAGGCAATCTGAAGTAAGAAGGTGCAAACTTAATAAATTACCTGCTTCTGAGGAATTAAAAAAAAAAGGGGGGATCTCAGACATGGATAGGGATTAAGGCTTCACTAGGAAGTGATGATGGAGCTGGTTTGGGGCAGGATGAGAGGAAAGCTGTGTAGGAATGTGTGTAATTAGTGAGTTTGGGTACTGCCTGTGAAGGAGAGAACATATGCTCCAAATATACTTCAGATTGTACTTTTAAGCCAGATGTCTGTGCCCAACCAAGGAAATACATTCTCTAAAAAACATAGAAGAGAAAGCTAAGCAAGGTGAGCACTAGGGGAAAGGCTTCCATTTCCACAATGCATTGTTCTTTCTCTTGATGAACTGTCCCACAGCTGGGAGAGCATTACATTAAAGTTTCAGGTCCATTATTTCTGATATTCACCTTGAATTTCAGAAGCAGGATCTAAAGCTCAGATTTTAAAATTTGATCCTCTCCCTGCCTGAAAGTTTCTTTTGATTAATTCTGTAGAAGCCTGTAAGCTTTGGCAGTGTTTTTCTTAGGCTCATCTTACCTGCGTTACAGATCAATGTGTTTTAATGCTCTAAGTTCTGAGTGTATTTCGGAAAGTTTCCAAGGGTAAGCCCAGGCATATTGGCCTTGAAGGAGCTTTAGTATGGAAACCTTAGCTGGCTCAGAATTGTGCTTGTTTTCTTTATATAGTATCAGCTTTCTTGGAGATGACTGTTGACAAGAGAAAGTCTCCTCTGAGCTAATGTTGCTTGTGGCCTTATTGCTGGAGAAAAGTGGTCATGCCTGCATAACATGCTCACTTTTAAAATAATTCAATATCTGAGCAGTTTTAGGAGTTCTGTAGCTGTGCTTTTATTTATAGAGAGGGAGAGGCCAAAAAGAAGAGCTTTGAAAGAAACAAGTTCAGGCAGACTTTGTTTTTGTTAAGGAGCAACAAAAATTGATTCAGCTGCCTTTAGTCAATAAAAATGCAGCCTGGTAGAGGAATAGTTGTTACAAACATCTAAGTTTAGGTCCTGTTGCTACCACCAGAATTACAGTTTGTACTTTAAAGATAGTGTCGGTTGTGTGTAGTTCAGAGAAAGAGAAAAAAAACCACAGCAATTTGGAATCTCACATTAAATTGGAAAAAAGTCAACATCAGCTCTGTGTTATACCATATAGCTTACATAATCTGCAATGAATTTATCTGTTTCGTGATTTAGTACTTTTCCATACATTCACAATTCTTTGACCTGGAAAATGTATCTCTCTTTCTCGTTGTTTAGTGTGAAACTGACCTTATGCAGAATTACATTCCCTGCTAATATACCATGAAAAATCATGTATTTATTTATGTCATCATACCTTATTTATTATACTTTACTTAGTGACAGAGAAATTTACTGCATCAGTTCAGTTGAGGCTTACAAAACAACCAAGCTCCTTAGCTTTCAGAGCAGAAAGGAAGATGATGATCAAAAGCTTGCTTTCAGAGAAGGAGCTACTCTTCTCATTTATATTTCTTAGCATTTTCTAAGATGTCTTCCACCTATCATTTTTTATTAGAGGGAGTTGCAGAATCAAAGTGGCATCTATTTATCATCCAAACTGAAATTCCAGCCCTCACCATCAGCCTTCTCTGGCCATGATTTTTCCCGTTTTACGATCAAGTGAGCATTGGAGCCTGTCAGGATGCATAGCTGCATTAATCATCTCTGCTCACTACAGCCAGTGAGAGGACAGGAAGCATCTATTTACTAAGGGCTTGTCTACATGGGGAAATATCCCAGACTGCTCATTAGGAGTTAACTCCTTCCATGGATTCTCCTTGAGCATCTTTCAGTGGTTTAGCTTCAGGCTGCTTTGGAAAATACGGGATTTGGTAGTGGGTGGAGTTAAACCACAGAAAGCCTGTGTTAGTGTGCAGTGTGAGTTCAGAACATGATCCTATCTCCACCTGTTATTTAATCTTCTGTAACTGACCCTCTTCATGCTCTTAGTCTGTGGCAAATGGAAGGTAAAACATCTTAGTTGAAGCCTCTCATCAAGGCAGGTGTGTGTGTTGCTTGTGTTCCATGTGCCTGTGCATTTGTGCAGGGGAGCCCAGAGTGCTGCTGACAGCAACTTGGGTGCAAGCATTATTTTTGGTATCTCCCCAAGCAAACAAATCTGATGAGAACTCATTCTTTTTCATGACAGAAGACAAGAAGTATGTAGGATAATCTTTTTACACCTTGTATGAACCATGTATTATTTAGTGATGTTGAAATTACTCGTGTTGGACCATCTTTTCTATAGAAATTTTCTTTGCCCCAAGATGAGTAGTCTTTGGAGATGAACAGCTTAAAGTCTATTTAATATTAGTCTAGAACATCATCATCCTGAAAACAAGAGACTTTGTTACTATGGAAGAAACTTGCACCATTTTGCAAGAGCTATGTTTTTAAAGCAACTTACACTAGTGCAAGCTCCATTGTGGAAACTATTTAGCATAACTTAATTTCATTAATTAAGCCTCAGCCTAACCAAACTAAATTGTTTTTTTCACTGGAATTATGTTCAGAGTTTGATAAATGTATTAACAATGTATGCATTTTCAGTGGTCCTATAAAATAGGAGTAGAATAGAAAAGAAAAGAATATTTCAGTTGTAAGAGTCCTACAGTAATAATTTAGTTCAACTGCCTGATCACTTCAGGACTGACCAAAAGTTAAAGCACGTTATTAAAGTAAAATGCCTCTTCACCACTTAGAGGCTTGAGGCATGAACTGCCTCTCTAGGAAGCCTGTTCCAGTGTTTGACCACCCTGCAGGTAAAGAAAGGTCTCTTAATGTCCAGTGTAAACCTCCCCAGAACTGCTTTGAAATAGTATTTTCTCACTAATACAGAAACTTGTGTGGTTCTTGAAGTTTCTAAGTAACTGCTAATTTTCTTACTGGCTATAAAAACTAACTCTCTATGTATTGAATACCAATTAAAAGTTGATTACTGCATATTTTAGAAGATCAGTGTGGAACCTTGTCTTAACAAAGATCCATAGCAAAAAATATATTATGAGCTTCAACTTACCTAAGCACAGTACTGAGAGTAAAACATGATGACCATTACCAGAAAAGTTATTTGAAAGAAGCTGGTGTAGCTACATTGCTGGATACAGCTTTAGCTCTTTGCTTTCAGCTCTTTCAACTGCATTACTTTCTCTGGCAGCTGTGCACTTCTCTTTTCCAAACTTGCATTGCTAGATAAAGTTTTATTCACTGATTTCTGCCAGACAGGAACAAAGCACAGTTTCTTTCAAATATTAAGTTGTCTGTGAAATTCCAGACTGGGATTGGCTGGAGAGGCTGCAGAATGCATTTTAGTCCTGTACATATATTTGTATTTGATAGCTGACAAGACCACTTTGACAGCCTTTCTTGGGAGTATATGGCTATTATTCAGTATTTCTCATTATCTTGTGTTGATGCTTCGTATCAGATTTTGTTATACTCTGTTTACACTTATGCTTTTAGAAATTCTCATTTGGGGTGGCACCTCAATTTGTGTCAAGTTCTCTCAAACAGGGTGAGTGAATTAAATAAGAAAGTCCAAGTTTGGCTCCAAAAGAAAAATAAAGAGTTCTACCATTTGTATATTGATGATTCAAAATGTCTGAGCTTAACATTCAAGTGCTGTGTGCCTTAGCCTCAGTGAAGGACACTTACTTAATCATTATGAATGGAATACAATACAAATGAAATAAATGTAGTATCAGAGATTAAAATAGACCTTGCACATATGTGTAGTAAAAGTATTCTTGGGGCCTTTAATTCTGTAATGTCCTTGGCTCAGATTTCTACAGTGGCTCACTGCCATCTTGAAATGGCACAAGGTAAAAGAAAAATCTTTCATGTATTCTGCGTACAGAAGCTGGGAAAAAATTTAATGGCAGAGAGAATGAAGCAAAGCATTACAGTTTTATATTCATCCAGTCCTGTTTTGTGTCTGTACTGCACTTCAGGGGGCTATGCAAAACCTCACTCAAAAAGTTGCATGACATCAAGGTTACAAACCTTGCAGTTGGGAAGTGCAAAAGGTGGAGCTGCACAGCTCAGCAGGGGTATTGCACTTGCACATGGGAAATATTTAGGATAATTATGCTAATAAACTTTCCTCTTTTGAATACACGGTGTAGACCTTAAGCTAACAGTGAAATGAAAAGATTTTCATTTGGAAAATGACACGCATTCAACATCCAAAAATCTGTATTTTAACAACTTCTAAAATGACAGCATTACAGCCTGAATTAATGTATTTAAAATAAAACAAACAAAAAAAAAACCCAAAGCTCAAAACTCCAGCAAAAAACAAAAAGCACGCTGAAGAATTCAGTAACTTTTATTAATTTATAGTCTAATTTTCTGAGTTTAGTTTAATTAACAAAGAATTGTTGCCTATTTCAGCCACAAGCCTTCTTTTACATCTTTCAGTTTCACTAACATCATTCAACACGTCTGTAAGTTTTTCATTGTGAGGATGTGGCAATCAGACAGCAGTCGAAAGTTTACTCCAAAACCCTGGAAAGTCAGCAGAAAGGCATTTGTTGATTTTAGTGCATTGGGATAAAGTCCAAAATAAATATCTAATATACCAAACCACCTGCTCATTCTTCAACATTTGAAAATTACTTTGTATGCAAAGTCTTTATCTCTGATAACCTTCAGTCTTACAAAAGAGCTCCTGCTACCAGGTGCCCAGCAGATCCTTGGTTATGTCTATAATCTTGCACACTCGTGAAGATAAATAAATGGTAAGCAAAATATGGAATTTCTCCTACCAAAAGCTTTGTCCTCACCCTAGCAGCTTCTCCCCATATTTTTGGATCACCAGCTATGGAAGGCAGATGGACATGAAATTAAACCTTCTCTTGTTTTTGTCCCATGCGTGACCTATGCTGCTGCTCAGTCAAGACATTTTCACCTGTACCTTTCCTAGGTAAAAATAGAATAATTACCACTTTTAATCACAATTGTTGTAGGAGGGGAAGACTGAGTTCACACTCCCACTACACCGGTGATGAAAGATATGATTTAACAGCAGTTTAAATTGTAAACTAAACTTTAAGCTTGCAGAAGCTCACAGCACAATGAAGATCTGTATAAAGTCCAGGGGCCCAAACTCTGCATCAATTTGCAGATCTGGATTTTAATGGTAGACTCTTATTTAGCACAAGAACAGAGCTAGACATTTGGAACTCTTTGTACTGCTGATGTGTACAGTTTTATGCCTACTATACAAAGTTATACTTTAAGAAACTAGACCCCATATTATAAATACGAAATTGAGACTGTGCTTAAGTTCTGAAACCACCCAAACTCAGCATGAAAGCCACAAAAACCAGAACTGAGCCTAGCTTCTTCCTGCTGTTGAGCCTAAAATCTTTCACTGTGTATTGTGGAAGAAACAATAGCATGTCCCAGGGCTGTGAGGCCAAAAGGCAGCAACCAGTAGCTGAGCAGTGGCAGGGATCAACTCCTTAAACATCTTTCCATTGCAATTAAGTCCCAGCCAAATGGTGGCTGATAGCAGGGATGGAGTTTAACCTGTTTGACTTTGCACTGGAAGGGCTGAGCACCACAGGCAGCCTCAGTTACAATGAGGTACAAACACAAGATTTAACAAGCTACTACTCGTCAGCTCTTAATTAGCAGCTCCCATCAGAGCAGCAGCACCCAACAGCAACGCCGTCTGCTTCAGTGCGAACTCCAAAGTATTGGTTAAGTTTTCAGAAGCATCATATTTTGCTTGGATGATGGTGTTTAACAGCTAACATGTGGCAAGATTTGACTACCTTTGAGTTCTTCTGTGTGTAGGAAGAGTTTCTAGCTAAACTTAGTACTTGATAGTATCTGCTAAATTGGATGCAAGCAGCAGGTCAGGCGGTTCCTTGGGCTAAATTCCTTGACGTGCTGCAAGGTGATTTTTGTTTATTTTGACTTGCAGCTCAGATATCCCATATCCAGCCCTGTTGCAGCAGACAGCTGTGCAGCGTTTGGTCCAGCCAAGGGTGTGCTAATGACTGGTAGCCTGGTTGTTTTGACAGTGTCTGCCTTGCCACTGCTGCGCCGTTGCTGCCGCGTGGCAGCGAGGCTGTGCTGGGGGCCTGGGGAAGATAAGGCTGCCCTGTGTGCATTATCTTGTGTATTCACTAGATAAAGCACAGGTTGTTGAGCCTGCCTGTGAGAAGTGTGGGAAACACTTGGCCCTTGAGGAAAGCTGCACACAGTAAAGTGGTGTAGTTTTCAAAATGCGTTTAGGATATTAAAGAGGAATTCAAAACACAAAGTACAGTAAAACCATGCTCAGAGTGCATGAGGAAAAGTTGGAGAGTTGAAAATTGAGAACATAAATAGTTTGCTTTGGGCCCTGTGTGAGTGAGGGTGTGATGGAAGTGTAGGAGCTGATGCATCAGCCACACAAAACTTTCTCTGTTAGGATGTCTTGTACTCTGCAAGTCTCATGGATGCCTACAAAACCTAAGAAAGATCCTGCTGATATAAATTCCTAGATTTTCAGTCATCTGTGTTTGTCAACCTTTTTTTCAGAAGCTGTATCCTACTATAAACTTGCTAACAAAATATGACAAAAGTGGCATGGAGCAAATAATTTTGTATGGATCGAGGGTACAAGAGCTAAATGAGCATAGTGCCCAGCAAATCATACAAAGGAAATGAATGTTTATTTCAGCTTTTAGTTTTTCATACCAGGATTTTTAAATGAATGCTATAACAAAAGAGGAGGATGAATAGCATTTCCAAGCATTTATCTATAAATGTACAATCCAGTATTGTGGTTTTAAAGAGCCTCTGAACTTCAAACTTCTTTAGAAGACTGCACGGATGAATCAATCTCTTTCAATACTTAACCTCTGACCCATAGATTTTTATACATACTCACACGCACTGCATGTTTATTCTTGTTCTCTTCTGTGTGTGCGTGTGAACCCACACGTAATCAGGAGTGGTAAATACAGATTTAAGACTCTAACGTGTCTCTCGTTAAAAAGTAAACTACTATTTGCATGAATAAGTTGTTTCTGTGGAGACACTGGGAGGATTTTCTGTTGCTTGGAAGTAGCACTCGAAGACATTGTATGAACTATTAACAGTTGGATACAAGTTCCCTTTAAAATATTTTAGTAATATTGAAAGCTGCTTATATTTTTGCAGGAGTGCAGGGAGTATACTTTTGTGGTTAGTTTGACCATAGAGGAAGAGTGACTGCAATGAACAGCAATAAATACACCACAATCTTTTAACCTTTTTCTGTAATGTAAAAAGACTATATTTTTTCTACACCATGCAATCAAAAGATTAAAATAACACTAAAGTATTCTGGACTTCTGGAAAAAAAAACGTATTTTTGTATTTTTGGCAGTATGGTGTGTAAGAACTGCTATTTCAATAGTGGAGTGTCAACTCTTGAGTTTAATGAAAGTGCCCTTAAATAGTAAACCAAAGTTATGAGAGTGAAATGTATATTCCTTTTAGGCAGAACATCTGCTAAAATTATTGTATCTTGAAGAGGAAAAAAAACCAAACAGAACAGGTGTGATTGCTGTGCCATGTGTGTCCCTATTGCTGTTATTTCCAGACAAACAGAGGGGAAGAGCCATGGCCATGTGTGTGTGCAGCAGTGGGAGCAGGGGCCAGCCAGCAGGGACCTGTTTGGGGAGCCACCCACGTGGGTTGTGTTTTGGGGGGTAACTTCTGGCCCAGTGAGGTGACATCCCTGCAGCATCCAGGGATGGGATGTGCATGCCTGTCCTGAGGGCTGAGTTAGCCATAGCCCAGGCCATGGTCTGGGCGTGCTTCAAGCCAACACAGCATGATAAGGATGGAGCTGGGGGCTGGTCAGAGAGTTTGTTCTGAAAGCACATTCCAAAAGGAACAATGATCCCATAGGGCTTTTGCTTCTCTGCAGCCACAGGGTTCAGGAACTCGTGGTTACAGTGCTCCTTCACTCTCCCTCTCCCTGCCTCCAGCATGGGCTTCTCCTCTCGCCTGGAGAAGTGGGAATTCCCTATCCCCAAAGGCCAGCCTTCCCTTTGGCTGCACGGTGGGGCTGTGGGGCCATGCAGAGGTGGCTTCCCCAGGTGGCTTCCCCAGGCAACTTCCCCAGGTGGCTTCCCCCTGTGGCTTCTCCAGGACCCTGCCCTGAGCCAGGAGCCCTTGGGTGCAGGTGCCACAGGGGTGTGAGAGAAAACCCCACATTCCCTGTGCTGGGTGTGACACTCACACGGCAGCCATATGCTGGGCTGCCAGAAATAGTGGCTATTTTTAAAGGAGTTGGGATTACTAAATAAACTGAGAACTGCTCTGTTGTTTCACACCGCTGTCGGGGTCAAGAAGGACGAGCGCCTGCTCCTCGCAGGGGGATGTGATGCTGTGCAAGAGTCCGGCTTGCTAAGCTGTCTGACAGCTTTTGTAGCAGAGAGTTTGTAGAGAGCTGGGATAAGAAGAATGAATTTTCAGTCATGTCTGTGTTAGGAAGGAAGTTTTATGCTAAAATAATAGGTCTGTAAAGATTGTCACTTTTTGTTGTTAAGATCAAACTTTTTTTGTGCTTTCCTCTGTTTCTCTTAAAAATTAAATTCTACAAATAGTTATATGTCTCTCTTACAAATTAGCATTTGGGTTTTTTTAAATTTGCAATGGCCTCATGTTCTGTGAAATTAATTCAGAGGAGCTCACAGGGATGCAGTGTCTTTTCCTGCTGTTCCCAACGGAGCCTTTCTTTCTCTGAATCATTGTCAGGCGATGCTATCTATTGCTGTCACTCTTAGTATGTCTGTCACATTCCCTCTTCCTTCAAAACTGTGTTCTTGGCCTTTTTTTTTTTTCTGGGGGATCCCTCTAGTTGCCCTTGCTTTTAACCCCAGAGGGAGAAGATTTCTAAAGCTGAAATGTGGGATCAATGTGTAACCACACCATATCTTCTCATGTGCTGCTCTGTTCTGCCCTTCCCTGATATCTCCTGCAGCCAGGAATGCCTCACAGACCTGGGCTTGTACATACCACTTCACATCACCTTTTCCTTTTTTTTTTTTTCTTTAAATGGGCTACATAGCATTAAGTGTAAATCATTTCTTATCCTTAATAATGGAATTGCTGTTCATTTCATTGCACCTGTAAAGTTAGTGAGTGTTGCCGAGCTTATATCAGATCTGAAACTTGAGAGCCCTCTTTGATAAGTACCTGTAGGTCCCATAGACTTGAAAATTACATTGCTGCAACTGATGGAATACTCAAATCTGTTTCATTTTTCTGAATTTGAGAGCAGGGACACTTTTAGTACTTAAATTCCCATCTTTAACATTGCACAGATGGTGAAATGTTTTTGCATTTTTTATATTATTTTGGGTTACTGAAGTTAATATTCTGCTAGCTACAAATATCCGCATGCATACCACAAGGTTCATTCTGAGGACAGAGCTCTAAAATAAATTATAGACCTTGGTAGCACTCATAAATCAGTCATTTTTTCATTGAGAAAGTGGTGGCAATGGAAGAAAGTTATTTAGTGATCAAAATGCATCGTTAAGCTTTTAAAAAGGGATTCGGTGCCTGTAGTGGAGCTGTAGGCGATTTATGGCTTATCTGTACTCATTGCCTCCAGCTTTTGGAAAATTTGTAAACAAAGCCAGATGCTCATTATGTTCCTGTTCAGGGTTGGTTAGATGGGCAAATGCCATCAGAAGCACTTTGGTTGGGTTTTAGCATGTTACAGAAAATGGAACTGCTCCAAAATATTTTTTTAAATACTTATCATCCATGAAAATATACTTCTAGTTTCTCCTCATAGAATGGATTTCTTTAAAGTAGCTGTAAATGATAAGGACATGAAGGTAATACTCCAGGAATTATGTTTTATGTTAAAGTGTGGATCCAGCTTTTTCTCTGTGTCAGAATTCGTGCTTACACCGTATGATGCAGTCAAGTACCACTCGCCCTTTTTGAGGGCTTCAGGCAATGCAGGAGGCTGTGGCAGCTTCAGGCTGGGGTAGTTTTGCACTTTTACCAAATATAGGGAACTGAGACATGAACTAAATTTGCTATTGATTTCATATATTTTACTGCTTGCCTTTTGTCTTTTGTTTAGAACATGTGATGTGAAAGGGGTTCTTGTAACCTATTTTTTTTCACTTTTTTCTGCTCTTTAAGCACTTGAAAACATGTTGTTATTTACAAATTGAATGGCTATGCAACAATGCATTTTTCCTTGTAATCGTATTTAATGTAATTTATTTTATAATTCTTGCTTAACTTTTTCGTGTATTTTTTTTTTTTTTTTTTATTTATTGGCTGCAGCTGACCAGGTAAACAGGTCATGGCACGCCTAACGAAGAGACGACAGGCAGATACAAAGGCTATCCAGCATCTTTGGGCAGCTATAGAAATAATCCGGAACCAGAAGCAAATTGCTAACATTGACCGTATTACAAAGTAAGTGACCTGCTCCAAAAAAAAAAAAAAGTCTTGGTGAGGGGGAAGGTTGATACTATTAAAAGCCCTTAGAGACAGGGATAGTAAACATTGTGACAGACTGGGAAACAGCTACATGCAATTCTATGTTGCTAATTAATTAATTATATATAAAAAAACAAATTTACCAAACTGACCTCCTAAAGAACCAAAAGTGAGGTTTAATTCATTGAATCGAGGTCTTACCCTGTATTTGTTTTTGCATGAGCATCTTTAGGAAATATGTAACATTTCTAGTACTTTTATTGAGTTTAGCATTTTGGAGTTGATAGCTTGGTCAAAATACAAGAAGTAGATATAACAGTTAAGTAGAAAAGGGAAATAAAATCTGTAAATAAATGATTTATTTAGGAAAATGTGAGAGGCTAGTGTAGGACTTTTCCAGAAGGCAAAGAGAAATCTGAAGTGTTAGATTGCTCAAATAGATAAGAAGCCATATTTGCCGAGATGAGCATAAGATACTATTAAAGAAGATATGAGATGATTACCACCTTTGATTAATACTGTTAAAATATTCATCAAGGTGTATTAGGTGGTGGATACACAAAGAAATATATATTTTTTATTCTGTGGAGCTTGCACTGTGTAGAAATGTCTACAATATTACTTGTAGCAGCCACTGTAATAAAAACAGAGGGCTTTGTGCCCCTCTCTGCTTTGTCTGCATTTCCAGGCTGACATGTAAGTCACATTTGTCAAAGTAATCAATATGAATAATTTAAAAGAACTAAAGTAACCAGTTGGCAACTCTTCAGTTGCCAGAACCAATGTAAACTGATAATGAAGCCATAGACCACTAACGGGGGGAGTTATAAAGGTGTGCAGGTGACTGACACAGTGAAAATCATTATAACATGATCCATGACAACTGTCCACCGACAGAGTTCAGAAGCTGTGGGGTGGGAGTGACAGGCAAAACTTCCACTGTAAGTGGAAGAAGTGTAATGGTTCAGGTTCTCCAAATATAATGAACAGTGAAGTGCAGAAAGCAAGACGATGTCACAAATGAATTAATGTGTACCTGGCTTCTAGAAGAACAAAAATGGATCATCAAACTGGAAAGCACCTTTCCAGAGATAGGGAATTCCAAGAGGGTTTGGAAGGAGACTGATTGTATTTTAGGGAATTTCACTTCTGAGGTCGCAGTGAAGTTTTAGAATGCATTAAAGCATATATATATTTTCATCATGTCTCCAAGGAGACAAGTGGGTAAACTAATGCTATACACTTTCCATTTTAACATTTCAAATTACTTGCTCTAGGCTACATATTAGCTGAGTTTGTTAGCTGTTTGTGTTCTTTTTAGATGTAATAAAGGGAGACAGGCATGTCTAGCTGGGAATTCATCCCACTCTTAAGAGAGATGCCTAGTTTAAGATAGTGGGAATAACATTTAGCTGGGTAAAGTTAGGTCAGAGAAATCATTACAAACAAGGTTGAGAAAACAAATAATCAGATACTAGAAAAAGAAGCACTGCTCTTGGTAACTGATGGGTAGTTTGATTTTTTAAAAAAGTGTAGATCCAGATTGTATGACTCATTTCCAGTTAGAAGAAAAATAAGTGACTAAACAGAAATGCAAGAAGCCTTAGTACTTTGAGAAAGATGAACAAGGTGTTAGCAGTGAAGAGTAATCTAAAAAGTGCTTGGGCATTGTAAATTCTCCCCATGCACATCAGTGACAAGAGTGATGAACACTGATCTAGTTTCTATTATGTGACATTCCTAAGGAAATAACTTTTGACAAGGAAACGATAAAGACCTTTGAGTTGCTGTATGGTACTAGTGGTTGATGAAGAAACACAGATGACATAGTAAATGAGTATGCATAATACATAATATTCAAAATAAAGTTCCAAAATTACCATGGCATCAGAATATCTCTTCTGATGAAAACTGAGCAGCTAATATATTCTTCCAGGCTCAAAATCATTTGGTCAGGTCAACTGCAATTCCTTAAAAGCTCAATCAGTGTCTGGGCATATCGGCAAACATACGAATACTAAGAATTTTCAGAACCAGTGGTCAAAATTGAAAATTATGAGCATGTGTATATAGTTGGAGTTAAATGGGAGGTTGTAATATTTATACTAGTAACATTTTTCAGAAGTGTTAATACCTCTTGGGATTGACAGAAAGTAATAATGACAGTGACATTATGGAAGAATTACTCATATTCCTGAGTAAGAATACATAAAAACAGTAAGAGAATTTTCTTTTTAATAAATCCATGTTTAAGGTAAGTAACAGTCTTGCTATGTGTAATATAGTGGATGACAAATGTGTACTTTCAGATAACTTCACGTATTAAAAAGATGATTCATTATTTGGTTTTTGAATGGATTTTCTTTTCTCCTGATTTAAGCATTCATTTGCTGCTAGAGATAAGTTGTTCTGTGTATATTGTGGGCTGTTAGTCTAAACACCTTTATAGCAAATTGCTATGAAGAACTGTTGCTTTTTTCATTAGGTGCTTTGTTACTTTTAAACAAATCTATTTGTTGGCTTTTCTCCTAATGTGCATTCAGCATGATTGTCTCCCTCTTCTTCATATTTATTTAGTTGAATTCTTACTTTTCTTAGTCTTCTGGTGCTGAGTAGAAGACATCTTGTACATCTCAAGGAACATTTACTTTTGATGACCTATGAGGAAATGTTTGTAATATAAAAAGAGGATTCATTGTTTGTAGATTATGAACTGTTCCAATTCAAAATGCAAACCAGACAAATTTATATAATACATGCAAGTATGCAAATTGTTACCTGTGCACTTTAAGTATAATTGATAGGAGATTACTTGGGTAAAGGAAGACTTCAAGAAGGTACTGTCAATGGAAAGTAGACAAGAAAAATCTACAGAACTAGGCACGAATTTTCTATAGAGAACATTAGAGTAGGAGGACAGTGTAGGAGGAGCCTAGAGCACTAGAAAGTACTTCTGATATTATCAGGAAAAACCTATAAGGAAAGAGGCCCTTTAATTAAAAGTAGACGAGATCAAGTATGCTTTGCTTTTTAAATTGATGAGGGGGAAAGGCAAGAACAGAAAAATACGTGATTAGAAGTGATTGAAAACTGTCTTACATCAAGGGAAGAGTCACTTGGAAAATTTGAATATGCAAGTTAGAGCCTTTAAGAAATTAATTAGTAAGCTTTTTGAACTTCTAGCAATTTTTTTAGAAAAGTCATTGCATGCAGAGAATTAATAAGAGACACAAGAAAGGTGTCTGTTTTGTAAAGAATTAAAACCTGTTTATAAAAATGGCAAGAATATGAGAGAGTTAATTGGAGTATTATATAAGTACTTAAGGTATTGGTAGGGAAGAGACCACACTGTGCAAACTCAACATCTCAGAAAAAAAAACCTCAACAAATCATCATATGAAAGGGATTCTGGAGTTTTACTGACTTCCTGTGAGGGTACATTATAGTTGGAAATGCACTTTCCATGGGTTGGAGAGAAAAATTCTTCAGTAACTTGAAAACTGAATGAAGGACTGAAAACCAATACTAACACGAAGCAAGAGTGACATGAGTTTAAAGGAATTACTACTTTGAATGCAAACTTCCTTTGGAAGAGAACTTCAAAATATATGTTTAAGTTCCTACCTTTGTACATAAGCTACAGTATATTCAATGCATTTTCATTTAATGATAGAGCTCACTTGAAGGCAGTGGTAGCATTTCTGTAAAGGTACAGAAAATAAATATTCTCACCTGGCTTATATTGTGACAGGGTATATCAAGTCAATGAATTGCAATAGTTTAAAATTGGACTCCAAGAACTAGGTAATATTTCTAAATCACTACATTTCTTAATAACAAATTTGCATTTCTAAGAGGTATTTGTCAAGAAATATGACTTCTTTTTCTGTTTAGACTTTATATTGGAATAATTTGACCCTAGTGTATCAATTATTTAGATGAGCATTATTGGTATTAGTTATGCTGTAGGCACTAGTGGAGAAATGGCTTTCCATATCTTGTGAATTCTCTGTCAAGAGTGAGGCCTGAAAAATTGTTCATCCCTAAATTGTGTTAAAAATTATAATTATGCGTTACTTCCTGTTTTTTCCTCATTATTTTCCATCTGTTCTGGTTTTGGGGTAACCTCAAAAATTGATTCTATGGAATAAAATGCCTTAAAATGCACTGGGAAAAAGGTATGCATATTTAGATGAGTAGGATAAATCATTGAAATTCAGTTGCATAGCAGATTGGTAAGTATTTCTGTACAGACATGTTTTTAAAGTTCTCTTTTTTTGGCTATTCCAATCTTCCAGTTCCTTTTATAGTGTTTTCTCCATAATTCCCTTACAGGTAATTGGAGTCCTAAGATTTAATTAACTATTAATTAAATATATACCCCTTTTCTCAAAAAATATTTGGTTTCCTCAGTAGCAATATATGAACATTTCATAATCTTTATGATTAGTTCATAGTTCATTAGCTATTAAGTTAATGTTATTAACATACCCAGTTGGCAAATCTGGTATTTTAGAACTATTATTGGCAGCTTTCAAGATTTTTTCCATTGTAAACAGATAATTATCTGGTTTCTAAACTAGTCCATGAAGACTAATTTAAAGAACCAAAATATAATTCTTTTCTTCTGAACATCCTTCCTCATGATTTTTTTACTCTCTCTCTCTTCATTGCATTTCATGATTAATTAAGTTGATTAGCTTCTCCCTCTGTCCCTTATATAGGCTGTGTCTATACCATCTTCATATCCCATGACAAGGAATGTCCTGGCACTCTCTGGAGCAGTTATGCTGGGGCTACACCTCGTTGCCTTTGGCTCACAGAATGTTTCTTTGGCCCTGACATATTCTTTGTTTGTTTTATATGTGTGTGTGGTTCCTCAGTTCTAAGTGCCAAAAATAACACAGCCCACAGCAAAGCTATTCTTGCAACCTGGAGATAGAGACACGATAGTTCTGTGTTGGGCAGGATGTGCA